TGTCCCTGTCCCTGCAGGACTGTGCGTGTCCTAGAGTCACCCCTGTGGATCCCTGTCCCTGTCCCTGCAGGACTGTGCGTGTCCTAGAGTCACCCTTGTGGACCGCTTTTGGACTCTGCGTGTGGTAGAGTCACCCCTGTGGATCCCTGTCCCTGTCCCTGTCCCTGCAGGACTGTGCGTGTGCTAGAGTCACCCCTGTGGATCCCTGTCACTGTCCCTGTCCTTGCAGGACTGTGCGTGTCCTAGAGTCGCCCCTGTGGACCGCTTTTGGACTCTGCGTGTGGTAGAGTCGCCCCTGATGTCCTGTACTCTCCTCTCCTCCTTGATCACCTTGTGTTGACCATCCCTAGTGTCTACTGATTGCCTTTCCCCTCCTGCACGTTCATGCATGTCTACCCTCTAGTCATTGATTGAGCCTCCTTTGCCTTCCAACCCCAGGCCATCATCACAGAATGTATCTGTGTGTGTAAAAACCCTTTCCTGATTCTCTGTAGTAAGTAGTGGTCTCATACAGTATTTGTGGTTTGTAAGTCCTCCAGGTTTTGTGGCTTCATTCTCACTCTTTAGTGTTGCATCGTATTCCATCCTGCGTATGTACCGTCGTGTGCTGATCTGTTCAGCCGTTGCCATCTTTTTGCTGTTCTGAGTAACAAAATGAACACGGGGTGCACTTATCTATCCTTGTCGCGGCTCTTACATCTCTCGGATATATCGCCAGTAGTGGGATTGCTGAATTGTATGGTCTTTGTTTTCAGCTTTTTAAGGAAGTGCTGCACCATTTTCCACAGTGGTTGCACCATTTTACGTTTCCACCAGCAGTGGACGAGGGCTGCAGTCTTCAAAGCTTTCAGCAGGGGAGCACGTCTCCTGGTGTTTGAGTGGATGGTACCACGTAGTAACAAGCTCAGAATCTCACTCTCAGCAGAAGTGCTGCTGGTGGCCCCAGGCTTTCCTGCTAACCACTGCACGGTCACGTGTTGGTGGCCTGGGCTGTAAGTGTGGCATAGGAGCTGGGTATGGGTAGCTTTCCTGCTAACCACTGCACGGTCACGTGTTGGTGGCCTGGGCTGTAAGTGTGGCATAGGAGCTGGGTATGGGTAGCTTTCCATTTTCAAAATGGCATTTTGAATTGAAAATAAATACACATAGGAGCCCTGGTAGCGCAGTAAGTTAAGCACTCGTCTGCTAACAGAAAGATCAGTTGTTTGAACCTTCCAGCTGCTTTGTGGGAGACAGATGAGGCAGCCTGCTTCGGAAGATAACCGCGTTGGAAACTCTCTGGGCCAGATGTACTACTCTGTCTTCTAGGGGCGCTGTGAGTCGGAATTGATGCTGCACAGTGGGTTTGCTTTGGGCTTTACTTCTGTGAAGATTGACAGCCAAGGAAACCTCTGGGCCAGTTCTACTCTGTCCTCTAGGGGGCGCTGTGAGTCAGAATCGACTCCACGGCAGTGGGTATGATGTGGGCTTTGCTTCCATGAAGATTGACAGCCTTGGAGACCCTGTGGGGCAGTTCCACTCTGTCCTCTAGGGGCGCTGTGAGTCAGAATGGACTCCACGGCAGTGGGTGTGGTTTGGGCTTTGCTTCCATGAAGATTGACAGCCTTGGAGACCCTGTGGGGCAGTTCCACTCTGTCCTCTAGGGGCGCTGTGAGTCAGAAGGGACTCACTGGCTGTGGGTGTGGTTTGGGTTTTGGTCCTGTAAAGATGACAGCCTTGGAGACCCTGTGGGCAGTTCCACTCTGTCCTCTAGGGGGTTGTGAGTCAGAATCGACTCCACAGCAGTGGGTTTGGTTTTATGGGTTTATACGGACTCCGTATTTTCAGTGGTTTTTGGAAAGTTAGCAGGTTAGGTACAAACTGTACTGGTAGTGAATTACAGGGTGAAGCACCATTTGGACGGCTCTCGTTCTTGCTTTCCCATGGTGCTTCCTGCAGTGCAACCCAGTAAGAAACCTTGGGTCACCCCAGTGTGGAGTCACCTTGTCCTCACGGGCTGCCCTTTGTGCCCTGGGACAGCACTTCAGCCTCCCAGGGGTGAACTACATGGCTTCTGGGGAGCTTTACAGATTTGGCATTTTAAAAATCACTTAAATTTTCCAGAGATTGTGTTTTTGATCTTTAAAGTTCAAAAAGAGAAAAGAGAAGAAAAACCTACTGCTTCTGTTACATGAAAGCCTTGTGGGTAATTTCGATAAGTGATGACTGTGGGGAAGTCTGTCTGGTCAGAGAAATGGCATTTTCCTGGAAAGGGCTTGTCAGCACTTAAGTCTGTCTTTTGGTATCGAGCCAGAGAACTGTTGGTCAGAATCAGATTGACGATTCTTTCTGCTCTTGTTTGCCGACCTTGCCCTTTGTGGCACTGTCGGCAAACAGTAGCTGAAGGGCCCTTAGTGGTGTGAGATGAACATCTTTCCCTAAAGGTAAGTGAAATGTGGACTCCAGAAACCGCCCTGGAACTCGAATGACATGTTTACTGTGATATGTACGCTGGGGTGTGTGGGCCCATGGCGCCGGGTGCACGCCAGCCTCTGGCTGTAAGGCACTGCCCCCACGGCCCTGCCGGGTCCCAGGCCGCCGCGAATGCTAATGCTTGTTTCCTTGACTGACTCGTGTTGCGGTGGACGTCACATTTGTAGTACGTTTTATGACAGACTTTATCGTTACCAGTTTGCAAAATCACTTTATTTATAATTTTTTCAGGAGATAAATCTCCCCCTAAACTTGAACCATCAGATGCATTACCTCTTCCTTCAAACTCGGAGACTAATTCAGAACCACCAACCCTCAAACCAGTAGACCTCAACCCCGAGCAGAGTAAACTATTCAAACGAGTCACTTTTGGTAGTGCGTCACATAGCGCTGGCACTCAGAGCGCACTGGCGCACGGACAGCCTGCGGCGCCCTCTCCCGCCAGCCGAGGCGCGGTGCCGGCCGCCGTGCTGGCGGAACCTTCCGGCGATGTGAACAGACGCACCTCTGTTCTCTTCTGCAAATCGAAAAGTGTAAGCCCCCCAAAGTCTGCCAAGAACACTGAGACCCAGCCAACTTCTCCTCAGCTAGGGACCAAAACCTTTTTGTCTGTAGTCCTTCCGAGGTTGGAGACTCTTCTGCAGCCAAGGAAAAGGTCGCGGAGCACCTGTGGAGACTCCGAGGCGGAGGAGGAGTCTCCCGGAAAGCGCCTGGACACAGGTAACTGTCACGTGGGGCTGCGCTGGGCGGGGCGGGCTGGCGGGGATGGGGGGCGTACTTGGCGCCCCACGGTAACGTGCGTCGACAGCAGCCCCTGTGCGCCCGCGGTGGGCGTGCGCACCAACCACGGGGTACATGTGGCGTCCGCGGCATACGTGCGCCGACGGTGGCAGTGGCCACCCCCGGCCTACGCGCTCAGTGTCCCTTTGCTGTCCGGGTGCTGGGTGTGCGTTACACGGAGGTGGCCAGCTCCAGACCACAGGGAGCACAGTGGTGATTTTCAGATGTCCCCGATGGGTCCCAGGAAGGTTGGCGCCGTCGTGGGGAATGCCCGGGGGGGCGGGGGCGCAGGTGTGGGGGCTTTGCTCTGTCTTGTGTCTTGTTCTCCTCGTCCTTTTCCTTCTGATTTTTCTCGTACCCAGAGTGGGGAGATCTGGTCGTTTGTACGTTTTAGGTGGGTGTGTGATGGAGGTGCGTGGTGGCGTGTCGGGGGCTGTGTCTGCTGGTACTGCGCGTATGGGGCCACGGCACGCGGCTGGGTCCGCGGTCGTCTCCTGGGCCACGGGCTGCATGCAGGGTCCCTGACGCCCTGCTCCTTGGGCAGTGGGGCCTCCCTCTAGTGTGGCCAGCTGCCCAGTGGGGGCTCAGGGAGACAGAGTCATGGAACCCTGCTGCAGCCCTTCCTGTGGTTGTGTGAAAGCACGTGTGTCCATTACCTTGTGACTCTGTTGGTGTGTGTGTGGTGAGGTGGTGTCCCCTGCTGGAAGAGCACCAGGGGCAGCCGCTCGTGCTGCTGGGCCCGGAGGCTCCCCTTGTTTCCTGAACCCAGTGAGAAGCCCCACACTGCAGTGGTGGTGGCAGTCTGGGGACAGGGTGCCGAGTCCAAACCCTCAGCTGGCTGCAGAAGAGTGTCTGTGGCTCAGATTCCCAAGCACGTGAATGACTGTCACATGCTCACTCTGTCCATGGCTATGTGTGTGCTTCCCAAGTTCCCCTTCTGAGAGTGTCAGTGACTTGCTCACACTTTTGTTCGTCTGAATTCAGAGCTGGGCTCAGGTTTGCTGTGCTCTGTCCTCTGTGCATTTCCTTACTGGGCTGCACTGGTATTGAGTGGGAGGATGTGGGGGTGTGGCTCTGTGTTGACGTGTGGGGCCAGTGACCATGTGATTCTCCTGCATCTGCCTGATGCATCCACAGAGAGAGACCAAGAGCCTGTGGGGTATTTACACTGGGTGCCTTGGAAGAAGGGCCTGGTAGCCTGTTCCCAGAAAGCCATTGAAAGCCCGCATGGAGCTCATTTCTACCCTGACACAGACAGGAACGCTGTGAGGCTGAGTCAACTCTGGGGCGACGGGCTCAGCATCTCTGCAATTTCTTAATCATACCTTGGTCTTTGTTAGTGAAACATGAAGACTATTTGACCTTGTTCATTAAGCTCATCGAAAAGGTGCTGTAGTTACCGTAGAAGTTGGCTCATGTTGTGTGCACAGTCGAGTTATCACATGATGGTCAAGCGTGAGCTGCCATTCTGGACTGGCCTGTAGCAACCTCGGGCTTTGCTGTTGGCGTGGGAGGGTGCCCAGTGAGGCTCCCAGCCGCTTCCATCCTGACTGCTGGTAGCACAGGAACAGCCACACCAGCCTCGGGAGGCGGGGGGGCTCACTGCATGGGGTGCTCTCACGGCCAGCTCGCAGTGGTGCTGACTGGCCTCTGGGCCTCTTGGACTTGCTTATCTATCGGCGCCCCTCACAGAAGACACTGCCCTCCCTGGCTCTGTTTCCATGTTTTGTGCGTGTTGCACCTAGCCTGTGATGGTGAGTGTAAGCGCGTGGCGCGGCCCAGAGGGCGCGTGCCTGGCCTCACTGAACGCAGCCTCTGCTTTCTTGTTCCAGACTGGCAGTAGCTTGAGTGGACGCATGAGGAGGCCCTAAGCACTCGGCGAGCGAGTGCGCGTCGGTGGCGCGGCCTAGACCAGCCACCCCAAGCGGGCCTGCTGACGTCTGCCCACAGCCACCCCTCGCCTAGGGTTTGCCTGGTGCCCGCACCCCTGACCTCATAACCCTGCTCACCCGGACCTCTCGCTCCACCCACCGGTCTCCACAGTGCCGACTGCCTGCGCTCCCCTGTGTCTCTGGGGTTCAGGAGCTCAGCAGGATTCCCGAGGGAGAGGCTGAGGAGCCCCTGTGAGATGCCCACTCTGTGTGTGACGAAGGCAGACGCTGGGCATGGGGAAGGGCTGCGAACCTGGGAGGACTGGACCCTGTGACCCACACCTTGTGGATGCTGCGTTCTCAGGGCCCATGCTGGGCACTCCTGACTTCGTCTTGTTACTTCCAGCGACGGACTGTCAGTGACGCCGTTTGCTTGTCCTTTGAGATTCCCATTCTGAGATGCTGGCCGTGCCCAGGTGGTGGTGGGTGGGGTGAGAGTGGACGTGGTGAGTGGGCCGAGTCTGCGGAGCCGTGGGAGGCACTCGACCCCAGGACCTCAGGCTGCCACCCAGCGGTCTCTACCTCCTGGTCTGCTGGGTGCTCTGCCCTGGATTCTTATTCTTCACTCTTAGCCCGGCTGGGGCTGGAGCTCTGCTGGGCACCAGCGTGACTGTGGGCCGTGGTGGGCCATCCGAGCAGCGACCCGCCCTGCGACCCGCCCTGCTCCCAGCCGTGCAGCAGTGCGCCTTCTGTCTGTGGTCCTGAGAAGCAGAGGGGAGGTACTCTGCTCCTGTGCCGTGTGCGAATGCGCTAAGTCTGGTGCTTCCACAGACGACTTACTGGACACATTCCGGAACCCAGTATCAGCCCCCATCAGGAATGAGGCACACACGGCGCGTTCCACATGGCCCCTGGCCTCTTTCTGTTTCTGAGTTTCCGTGGGGTTTCCTTCTCTGGTTCCTCTTCCCTTGTTTTCCTCCTGATACTCTCCAGGGTCTTATCAAGTGACCCCCACTGTCCACCACCGCAGACCCACTAAATGCCTGCCGTCAACTGACCAGTCACAGAAGCGGGGCCAGGCATCTCTGCTCAGCACTGATAGTTTTCAGCCTTGCCCTTCCCGACTCTGCTCTGGACACGGACGACGGTGCTCGGCCGCCTCAGCCGCTGTGTTTGCGTCTCACAGAACGGACGACGGTGCTCGGCCTCCTCAGCTGCTGTGTTTGTGTCTTATAGAGAGTCTGAAAAGTACAAAAATAAATGTACTGCTGTTGCTAGTAGCAACGTTTCACGTGTAAATGGAACATGGTCACCCCAAAGATAATGTGCCCTGCTGACCGATGCTCACATCACAGCACCCACATGGTGGGCCCCTCACTCGGAGCTGCACTGCCACGACCCTCGGCCTGCTCGCCGAGCAGGGTCTGCCTGCTGCTGCGTCTGCTGCGTCCTGGAGGCTCCCGTGGCGTGGACGTGGCCTTCAGTGACCTGCCTTTGTATGCGGTTCTGGTCACCAGGCTGTCATTGCAATGCCAGACGGAGCCCTATCGTGATGAGCAGCAGGCTGTGTTTGATAGACCAGCGTGGAGAGTGAGCTGGTGGGCCTGACCCAGGAGGAAGGCACCCCACCTTCCTGCCATGGCATATGTACACACAGCCATTGCAGTGGTCACCACCACCTGTGGCCAGCCTGCCTGAGGGCCGTGCCTGGAGGCTGCTGAAGGGCCTGGCAAGTGTGGCATGTGGACTGTGGGGGTTCTTGGGCTTGAGAAGCCTTCCCTGAGAGATTGGATGCCTGAGCGGGACCTGGGGACTCCCTGCGCCCCCAGTGCCGTGGCCGAGCCTGACGGAGGAGCAGGGGCAGAGTGCCCTCACCCCAGGTGCTGCAGCTGACCCTGAGAACAGCGAGAGGGAGGTGGGGACCCACAGATGGGGTCCTGAAGGTGAGGTCAGCCATGGAGCAAGGCGGGGGACAGGGCTTGGGGGCCCAGTACCCTTTGGCCATGTGAAACTCCACTCCTCCCAGAGTGGGCAGACACTTGGACGGACTCCAGCCATGTGCTCTTGTTGAGCCCACCCAGAGCTGGCGTGCCTGGCCTGTTCCCAGCCCCGGCTCCATCCAGCAGCAGCCTGGCCATTGCGGAGAGGTCCTGCACATTCAGCCTTGGCTGGGTTCCGGGCCTGGCACCTGCCAGGTGTGAAGTCTGTGGTGAGACATGAGGAGTTTCACCACATGGGCTGTGACATCCCCCAGTGGGTCAGGCGATCTTGCCTTTCCCAGGATCGCTGATCCTGCCCTCGGTGGTCTCTGGAGCACCTGGCATCCACACTGGGATGGGAATAGCATGCTCAGAGTGGGCGTGGAGGTGGCTGTAGCGGCCTTCGGGTCACATATGTGCCTGTGACGCCTGTCTTGGCCTGAGGTCCTGGCGATGCTGCTGATGCACTCAGGTGCGTTGGTCTGGTCCCGTTGGGTGAGCACTTACCCAGTCCGAGCTGCTATTCTTGTGTTCTCTGTGCCCAGCTGGCTGCCACCATGTGCAGATGCTGGGCTGTGGGTTCTACATGGGTCTCCTTGGGGGCTGTGTGGTGTTCATGCCCTTCACAAGTTCCTTCCAGGTGCCTGTCATGGTAAAGGGCTGCATGCTTTTCCAGAATAGCCGCTGCCCCTGGCCTGCCAGGGAGAGTAGTCTATCAGGTTAGGGTTTAGATGGTTGGTGAGGCTGCAGTCATAGCCAGGGGCTGCACATGTGCTGTGCCTCTTAGTCTTTGCACCTTTGCACGCTGATGGCCACACTGCCACTATAGCTTTGTGCTGTCCCTCCTGGCTGACTGTTCTCATCACACTTTGAGCATTGTGTCCGGGCTACAAGCCCCTATGCTCAGCAACCTTTGGGTAGACCAAGTGTGTTGCAGTCAGGGCTGTGAACTGGGTCACACTGGTTCAGTCGTGGCCAACATGGGAAATTGGAGCAGATCCAAGTTTTAGATGTGAGTGAAGTGGACTGATGGTTGGAGCAGGAAAATAATAGGTTGAAGCCCTAGAATGAAAACTCAGAAGAGGTTTGGTAGCCCTTTCAGAAGCCTGATGCGGAGACGGATTACTGGCAAGACTCTGAGTGAAACACATTCAAAGGGGTGTGATTGGCCGCCATCTTTGAGCAGGGTACTGTTGTTTCTGACTCTGTTGGTGAAGAGATTTGATCGCTATGTGATGCACATGCTGCCCTTGTTTTCTACTAGAGAGGTTAAGTCTAGCAGGGTGTCGACTTTTCCCTTTTTGGTTCTGGTACACTCATATTTTATAAATTTGGGTCTGTTCCAGTGTTGCTGCGTTGGCCGTGACTGAACCAGGAAGAACTTCTTTGAAGGTCTGGTTTTGCAGCAGTAGTAGTGTCAGAACCTGTCTCACTCAATTCCTGAGTGACGTGAACCAGGATCAGCCCAAAGCTTGATTCCTATGAGGTGGAGGCCAGATGTACCTCACTCTCCAACCTTTTTACCCATTCTGATGTCTGCTATCCCTCCCATGGCAGTCTCCTTCTCTTCTGGGGTCGGTAAACTGCTACAGTGGCCACACAGAACGTACAGACGACTTTCAGTCAATAAGTCAAGGGCTTATTACGGAAGTAACAGGGTGCAACTTGGGATCTGGACCAGGATGCGTGCAGCACACTCTTGCATGGCTCTCCTGCACTGGAGAGCACAGCCCTCCCTTCTTCAGGCCGCCCAGCTCTCGGCTCATCTCCACCAGCCATGCAAGCAAGCAGGCCCCCTCTCGGCCCCCTTGGGACAGGTCTCCCTGCCTTTGACCTCTCTGCTGCTAACTGACCTGGCATGTTCCAGCCTCCTTAGAAGGTTCCTCGTCTCCTCTCTCTCCCTGCCCCTTCCCTTTTCTTCTTTTGGAAACTTCCGTGGGACTGTCTGCTTATGTAAGCAAGCTGCCTCTCGATTTCAGGCATGGCCCACCCTGCAGGGCCTCAAACTGACCAGTCCCCTTGGTGGCCTGTAGTCACTTCATTTGCATAAGTATATTGACCAATTCCTGCAAGTAGCCAGTCACAGGTCAGGCTACAGCCAGGGCCAGACAAAAAGTTTCAAACCACAAATTGCCTATAGCTCACCCGAGGAATGCCATTCAACCTGGAGGAAGTAACAAACTCTCTGGGGTAGAAAACTAGGGCAAAGGTCACTGCTCAGGGCTCAGGGGAAATCTCTCAAGATGTTTTGCCAAATACCAAGGCAGAGGCCACATAACTTCATCGCATGAGGTGTGGGCGCCTCACCCATCAGGCACTTGCAGGCATGGCCTTTCTGGACAGCCTGTCTGGGGACCGCTGTTCAGGCCTGCGTGGTACCTACCACTCGAGAGTCCTGTCTCCAGAGCATGGAGCCTGAAGCCCTAGGCAGACTGTCTGATGCCCCTGATGGGTCAGGCTAACGTGGGGGTCTGTGCTATGGGGTCCCAGGGTGCTCTCTGCCCCCTCTGCGACCCTGCTTCTCACACACAGACACCCCCCCGCCATCTTACTTGGCTTGGAGAACTTGGGAAGTCTCAGTTTTCCTGCAGATGCCCTGATTCTAAACAGGGTTGCACCCTGACCAGCTGCAGTGGCCACTTACAGACGTGAGTGAGGTTTGTGAAATTGGCGTTTTCCCTCATAGCCTGTGGTGAGGTGCGCCTGTAAGGTGGCTTCAGATGCTGTGGGGTAGGTCTGTCCAGGGCTGCAGGGCGGCCAGTTTCTCACGGTGATGGCAGCACTGGTAAGGTGTGCCCGTGTCCCTCGTTTCAGCAATTCCTGCTTGTTGAGAAAGTGAAGGGAAGCTAAAACTGCCGGTGGAGGGGCTGGAACCCGCTCACTTTAGAACATGCAGAGGAAACGCTGCCCTTACTGGACTGCTCATTTCCTCCAGGAGCAGGTTTCTCGTTCCTTGTAAAGGTCTGGGATGAGGATTCCTTGGAGAAAGCAGAGTTGTGGCACCTGGCTGCCAGCCTCAGAGCCTGGGTGTGGATGGCCTCAGCGCTCAGGGGTCTGCCCCTGGTGTCATCTGCTGTGACTTGGGCGGAGGGGCCTCAGGTCAGCCTGTGAAGGTTCAGTGCGTGTCCACACTCGGCTGGGGAGAAGCTGCAGGCCAGTGGTTGGGCTGCGGGCACAGCTTGGGGAGCAGCTGGGTGTCAGCCGGACACATTTGTGGCCACTGGCTTGGGGCTCAGACCCGGCGCAGGGCTCGCGAGGGCTGGCGTGCATGCGGTGCCGGTTTCCCTGTTCCTGGAGCCCTGCTCGTGAGCTCTTGCTGCCGTTACTCGGTGCGCAGCGCCGCCACAGCATGGTGGGGGGCCTTGACCGTGGGTGCCTCTCTGTGAGGAGGGCTGGCCCAGTCATTCTGGAGACACTGAGCTCCCAGACGGCCTTGGATCCGAGACGATGACCCTTGCCGCCCTTAGGTGGTTCCTCCACCCCCCACCGGCGTCTGTGCGTGTGATCCACATCACCGCGTGTGTTCACTCTGTACCCCGTCCGTGTGCGCCGGGTGTGTGGGGCTGGGCATCGGGAGGGGCGCAGGGTGGCCTGTGGCGCCTCTGCTCAGCCGCGTTCGCTCCTGTTTCAGGTCTCACCAACGGCTTTGGGGGTGCGCGGGGTGAGCAGGAGCTAGGTGGCGCCCTGGGGAGGAAGGCTGCGCCCCGGCGTCGCTGCGCCTCTGAGTCCAGCATCTCTTCCAGCAACAGCCTGCTCTGCGATACAAGGTGAGCCACGCCGCGGACCGGGTGGGTGAGCTCTGGATGGGGTGCTTCCTGCCCTGCGTTTCTGGAACGAGGGGCCCTCAGCTCCACTTCTGAGCCCCGTGAGCCAAGTCGGGGATGCAGGAGTGTGTGTCCCACCCAAAAGTGGGAACCACACCGTGCAGTAGGGGCACACGTGGAATCTGAAGTCACAGTTGGCCATTCCTCCTTCAGGCTGGCTCTAGCGAAGGCGGATAGGGGAGCCCGGCCTCTCGCCTGCAGGTGGCACTGTTGTGACTGGGAAGGGCTGCCGCGGGAGGGAGCCGTGCCCTGGGAGGTGTGTGCCCTCGCTCACGCAGTGCCTCTGCAGTTTCAGCACGCCCAAGTGTGGCCGGGGCAAGCCAGCCCTGGTGCGCAGGCACACCCTGGAGGACCGCAGCGAGCTCATCTCCTGCATCGAGAACGGCAACTACGCCAAGGCGGCGCGCATCGCCGCGGGTGAGTGCGCCTGCGGCGCTGTGGGGGCGCCCTGGGGCTGCGGTGGCAGGGGCGGCGGAAGGTTCTCCCCAGGGAAGCTGGGGGGTGGCCCACCTTCGGGGGCCTGCTGGGCTCCCGCCCAGCCTGCGGGCTGCGTGCTGACGGCTGCCGCTGTGCTGTCCTCCGCAGAAGTCGGCCAGGGCAGCATATGGACCTCCACCGACGCCGCGGCCTCGGTGCTGGAGCCCCTGAAGGTGGTGTGGGCCAAGTGCAGCGGCTACCCCTCCTACCCTGCGCTGGTGAGTGTGTGGCTGGGGGGACGGCCTGGGGAGGGTAAGCCACCGAGATGACCCTGCACCCAGGGAGAGAGCGTCCCTGGGGCTGCTTCTGCGGGTCGGGGTCCTGAGGGACCCCTGTGTGACCCCTGAGGGACTGCTGTGCCTGGGGCCCCGCCCACTGATAGTACTGGGGGTGGGGCCGGGAGGAACTCAGACCAGGAGTGTGTGGCAGTCCTGTGGCCTTGCCTCTGTGGGCCTTGGCCTTGACTGAGCACCAGCACTGGGCATTCTTCAGGCTCTGGGTCGTCGAGCAGAGGGTCCGTCGCTGCCGTATGAAGACAGCCTTCTGCACTGACCTCTGGCCTCTGCCCAGCAGCCCTGAGCCCCTGGCGTGCGGGCACTGTGACCTGCCTGCTGGGGGGGGCAGGAGCTCTTGGGGCCCACTCGTGTTCCCTTCCCACAGATCATTGACCCCAAGATGCCCCGTGTGCCTGGCCACCACAATGGTGTCACCATCCCGGCCCCGCCGCTGGACGTGCTGAAGATTGGCGAGCACATGCAGACCAAGTCGGAGGAGAAGCTCTTTCTGGTGCTGTTCTTTGACAACAAGAGGAGCTGGTGCGTTGGGGGAGGGCCTGGGGCTCCTGGCTGTGGGGGCAGGGCGCTTGGTCCGGTGCTTATTGGTCGTGTGCTTGTTGGACGGTGACAGTGGTGGGCGTGGCCCCTCTGGCTTGGGCACCCCACAGGTGCACGACCCTTGACTGAGTGGGCGAGTGCTCCACATGGGTGGGCCCTGGTCTGAAGTGGTCCGGCGCTTCACATGTGCGCAGCCATCGTCTGAGGTGGGCGGGCCCTGCCTGGCCCCGCGGGACAGCTGGACAGGGCTGTGGGCACCGGCATCAGCCCTTACTTCTCCCTACCCCTGCTGGCCTGGCCCAGTTTCTCTCTTGGTTTCTCACCCATGTGCTGTTGCCGTAGCAGCTGTGGGGTCCTGCACTCTCCCCGCCCTCTGTCCCACACACCTGCCCCAGCACACTCTCACCGCTGGCCTTGGCACCTGCTACCTCATCTGCACGCCCCTTCCAGGCGACGTCCTGGCGGCACCTCTTAACCTGGCCCTGCAGCTCTGTCTCCCCTCCTCACCCCCTCCCACCGCTGCTCGCTGAACACCCTGCCCCTCACTATGCTGGCCTGTCCCTGCCCAGAGTGCCTGGGAGCCCCGGTATACCACGTCCCGTTGGACTGAAGCCACCACTGAGTGTAGGACCCACATTTACGCCCCACCCGGGAGGGTGGGCCCTGGTGACCCTCTGCAGTGACCCTTCTCACAGAGCCACGCCCTTATCACACACAAGTGTGAGTGGCTTGTGCCTGAGTGCCTTTCACAGGGACTCAGCTCACAGTGCCCACTTGGCTGCGAGTGTAGGGCTCAGCCCCCGTGGGCCCCAGCCCCGTGTGCAGGGCTCAGCCCCCGTGGGCCCCAGCCCCGTGTGCAGGGCTCAGCCCCCGTGGGCCCCAGCCCCGTGTGCAGGGCTCAGCTGCTGTCAGATCCACTGACACTCGGCCCAGCCTCATCTCGGGGTGGCAAGTGTGGAGCTTACACAGGCACATTCTGGCCATCGCCTGGGTCTGGCAGTGACCGGCAGAGCTGCTCTGTGGTGATCGGTCTTGACCTGCTATCACGTGCCTGCTTTGCAGTTGTCTCCAAGTCAGACCTGAGGGTGGCCCCGCCATGTCTGACTGAGCCAGCCGCCACTCTGGAGGTGGCGAGTGTGGCTACCTCCTGCCCAGCTGGGCTCAGACCCTCCTTCCACAGGGGCGCCCCTGCACTCTGCCCAGCGGTCCCTCCTGCTCTGACTCCCCTGCGCTCCCGTGCCCCCTCAGTGTGTGCGTGTGTGGAGAACGCGTGTGGATGTGCATTCACATGCATACATGGCTCTGAGAGTGTATGTGAGCACGTGTATGCATGTTAGTGCGTGTGTACGCAGGCACATGAGAGACTGCATGTGCACCTGAGTGTGAGTATGTGCATGTGTACATGAGCATGTGTGTGCAGGATTGGGTGTGTGTGAGCGTGTGCCAATGGGTACACGTGCGTGAGTGCCCTAGTAGGTCTCCATGTGTGTTTGAGTGCCAGTGAGCGTATGTGTGTGCATGTCCACGTGTGTGCCAGTGTGTGCACATGTGCCCGCTTGTGTGCCAGCGTGGGTGTGCATGTCTGTATGTCCCAGTGTGTGCACGTCCACGTGTGCCATCGCGTTTGCATGTCTGTGTGTGTGCCAGCGTGTATGTGCGTGTGTACCTGCCTGTGTGCTTGTGGCCCTGACATCCTGCAGTGGTACCATGGCCTGTCAGAGGAGGGGGTGGGGGGCTGTGCTCAGCCTGCTGCTTGTGAGCCTCCAGGGGGCGGGAGGCCCTTGTCTCCAGGGCTGCTGGAGAGGTGGCTGCCATGGCAAGGACCCGTCTGAGTCTGCCCTGCCAGCGTCGGTGGCCAGACCCGGGGGGTGCAGGATGGAGGGACCACTGTCCCCAGGGCAGGCCCTGGCATGGGTCCCAGCTTTGCTCTGTAGTGAGGTGCTCCTGGCACCTTGTACGTGTAGCCTGGCCTTCACTGCATGGTGCCGACCCTTGTAACAGCTTTGGGTGGCTGTGCTGGGCCTCCTTTCAAGCCAGAGGGGCTCTGAGGTGTGTGTGGGTGTCTCAGGAAGCACGGTGAAGTCCGGTGGACGCGCGGCACTCACTTTAACATCTCTGTACTTTGAAAAAGGCAATGGCTCCCCAAGTCCAAGATGGTTCCCCTTGGGATTGACGAGACCATTGACAAGCTGAAGATGATGGAGGGCCGGAACTCCAGCATCCGGAAGGCTGTGCGGATCGCCTTTGACCGCGCCATGAACCACCTGAGCCGCGTCCACGGGGAGCCGGTCAGCGACCTCAGCGACATAGACTGAGCCGCTGCAATGGCCCCGACCCCTGTGCATAGTGTTGATACTGTATATACTTGTATATGGTTCACGACTTAACTTATTCTCCTCCTAGCCGTAGCCCTTTCGTTCTCTTCCTCGGGGCGGGAGGTGATTCCGTTTTCTACAGACTCTGCCCCGGCGCCCGGAGCGCGGAGTGCATGGGCCAGAAGGCGCGGCATCCGCGCCGCGTCGCCCTCACGCCCGACGGTGCTGCTTCCGCCACCTCCTTCGCTCTGTAGCTTTTTTTAAAGACTTTTGAATGTTGGATAATTTTGTAAGTCATACTCTTTACACAGAGTACCGCTTATTTAATAAGACGGATGTAAATTTACGACGGCAAATGTGTATTTTAAGAAAGAAAATGACCTTATTTTGAATGGTACTTTGTGCAAAGAGCGCACCACTCGCACATCACCAAAAACACTCCTGCTGCCCAGGCGGCCCCGGGCGGCTTGTCCTGTCTGCCCGCGGCCTCCCCGTCTGGCCCTCATCCCACCACCAGGGCCCAGCGGGCTGTTTATTGTAGAAATTGTATTCATTTGCTTTATAATGAAAATAAATTTACAAAAGTATATTGATAAGCATTTTTATACAGCACATGAAGATCCACCCTGCTTTGGGAGAAGGCGGTAGCGTTGTGTAATGACTGGACGGCTGTGTGTACTTTGATTTTTGTAATTGTCCTCTTGTTTACAGTGAGGGGCTTTCTGTAACTTGTTTTCCTTTAGGACACTTTGGTAGCAATAGGAACTTTGGATACATTTTTGTATGGTACATGTGATGTACATAGAATTAGGACTTTATTTTTATTTTTAAGAGGTAAAAGCATTATGTTAGGGAAAGTAGGGAGGGTTTCCAGAATGCATTTTTTATATTAAAAAATAAAAGTCAAGATGTGGATGGCTGTGGCGGTTTCCTTTCTCCATCTCTGAATATGGGGGGGGGGGCAGGGCCACTCCCACTTATTCCAGGGTTCCTCCAGAGGCAGGCAGCTGGGTCCCTAATCATTGTCGCCTCCGACAGAGTTTACTGTTCACCTGATCTGCTCCGTCTGTAGTGTCTCCATGGGGCCCTGACAATAAGTCTGCCTGGGGGGGGGGGGCGTGGTAGAGGGCCTGTAGGTGGAGGGATCTAAGGATGGCCAGGGCCCCGAGGCAGCAGAGGGGGAACAGGGCAGGGGAGTGTCAGCGGTGCCTTGGAGGGGACAGGTGTGCTGGGGCAGGGGGGTTCCAGGTGGAGGAGCCATGGGAGCTGTGGGTTCAGGCAGATGGGGGTCACCTGGAGGTGCCGAGCACATGCACCTGCGATTTGGAACTTGTGGTCCTGCCGGGGGATGGGGGGGGTGAAGGCAGAAGAATGGTTGACACCCCAGGGCCACCGGTGCCTCTCACCCCCCTTGTTCTGGAGGGATGCTTTGGCTGGGGAACCTCTGAACGGGGAGCAGAGGAGGGTGGGGGTTTTGGGGATGGCCCCCGGGGGCTGAGTGTTGGGTCTGCTGGGGGGCAGCTCATGCCTCAGCTGGTCTGGGCATCGGGCAGGGGTGCGGGGGCCAGGCCCACACCCAGCACTCTGTGGTCCCCCTGCATCCTGCCCTGTCCAGGAAAGAGCACTGGGCTCTACACTTCGCTGGGGTGGGCACTGGTGTGCTGCCCCCCGGGATTTTCCTGGTATGGGCACTGGCGTGCTGTTCTGGGGACGCCCTCCCTCCTGGGACCGGGCTCTTCAGAAGCCTCAGTGGCTGGTCCCCAGTGTCTCAGCACCAATTGCTGGCCCCCCACACTCAGCCTGGTGGGGTAACGGTGGGGAGAGGATACTGGAGGTGTGCTGGCCTGGCCGGTGCCTTGGCTCTACCAGCAGGGCCTGTCCTGTGTTCTGAGGGGAACGTTACTCACCTGCAGGGTCCCGGAAGGCGTGGGCTGTAGCTTTTTTCTTGAGGTGCTTTATAGACATAGTATGCCACAGAGGGGTCTCAGGGACCTCAGCAGTATTCCTTAGGATCTAGTCTCTGCCTGTCTCTCTGTCTTGTCTTTCTCTCGCTTCATACTCATCCTTTTCTTGGTTTAATGAAATTTGGATCGTGGCAGGAGCTCTGGTGGTGCAGTGGTTAAAGCATTTGGCTGCTAACTAAAAGGTGGGCTATTTGAACCCACCAACTGCTCTGTCTGGAGAAAGATGAGTCAGCGTGGGTCCGTGCAGATTGACAGCCTTGGAAACCCTCTGGGGCAATCCCACTCTGTCCTCTAGGGGCGCTGTAGGTCGGAAGCAACTCCAAGGCAGTGGGTGTGGTTTGGGCTTTGCTGCTGTGAAGATGGAAGCCCTGGTAGTGTAGTGCTTAAGGCATTTGGATGCTAACTAGAAGGCTGGTGGTTCAAACCCACCAGCCACTCCTTGGAAGACTGAGCAAACTACTTCCATAGAGATATGGCCTCGGAAACCCAAGGAGGGATCACTTTGAGTTGGAACTGTCTCCACAGCAGTGAGTTTGGTTAGGTTTTTGGATTTCGGTGAAGATTGACAGCCTTGGAGACCCTGTGGGCAGTTCCACTCTGTCCTCTAGGGGCGCTGTGGGTGAGAATGGACTCCACAGCAGTGGGTGTGGTTTGGGCTTTGCTTCTGTGAAGACTGACAGCCTTGGAGACCCTGTGGGCAGTTCCACTCTGTTCTCTAGGGGCGCTG